TGCATGTATTCCCTTACATGGAGTAGAAGAATATGTAAATTAAATATATTATTATACAGGTATATTCAGGAACAATATATTGTTTGTATTCTCTAATATGGCACATCGTGCTCACTAATTTGATTCCTCCGCTAGAGACTCTATTAACTTGCCTGGCATAGATGTCATGTTTGCTGTTTGGTAGTTGCTTAAATGCCCCCTGGAACTCCTGTTAAAAAAAAAATGTAATTACCATTACAATTATTTCTCCTCTCTTTGCCTTTCTCTTTCTGCTAATTCAGTAGATGCATACTTTCAGCCATTATGCCTCACTCCAAGGTTACAGAAAAGTTACAGGAAAATATTTTTCACTGTAGCCCCGAACTGCCTGTGAAATGAATAGTAAAGCCAGAGTCTGCCATGTATGATGAAATCAACATGCCAAATCACAACTTTTCAAAGTTCTTTTCTATAGAAAAATGACCATGTTGCTGTAGTATCAAAATTTTGACTGCAAATAACAATCCGTCTTCTTTTAGCCAGACTGAATGGATGGTGCTAGACTCTTGCAGGTGGTGCAATTAGGCAAAACAATAGTCTGCTCTGAAAAAAAAAGGACCACGGAGAATCTAATGCATGCTCCAAATAAGAGATCATATTGGGCACCAGATTGAAACCATGAATTTATTTTTCTCTGCTTACTATAAAGTACTGGAACAATACTGGAAGCAGGGACTGGAAGTGAGAGAAGCACAATCCTGTGTATACTTGCACTTGGGTTCAGCCGGAGCACTCAGGTACTGGTACCTGGGTTAACCCAGAAGTGTGCTAAAGGGGTGGGAGAAATACGCTGTGCAAAGTAAACTGCAACCCAGTGTTCTGGATGATTTACCTGAAATAGATGATCCCCAGCAGAAGAAATGGCTTTGCATGCCGAAGCGAGTATTCGGGACATTACCCTGCTAGACGCAGGGGCACATGATGGGGAGCAACACTATTTGTGTCTTAAACCTGGCAGCTGGAACTGCACGTTCAGAGGTGCTGATGCAGTTTCCATGGGTTTACTTAAACTCTGAGGACAACTATTGGGCTGAGCTTGGAAGGGTGGCAGTGGAAGAATACCCTACCTGGCTGAGGTAAGAGAAGGCACTAAGTCGTCAGTGTTTTCAGCGCTGGGACGGTTCGGGGTTTGGGCAGAAGCATCGTTGTGGACAACTGAGGGTTTCACGGAAGGCAAGCCTGACGTGCCTCCAGCTTAGATAAGGGCTGCATGGTAGTTTGTGGGACCACTGTACAGGCCTTTGATGCCTTCGTTCTGCAAATCCCATTTAAAAAGCTTCAACCCTTGTTCAGATTATCTTGTAAGCCCTTTGTGCTTTGGTTTCTTTATAAAATGAGTAGAGTCATATGTATCATCATTGGTGATGTGGTTTGAAACGGCTGTGGAAAAGGTGAATATGTTTATTCCAGGTGCCTGATGCTGGACTCAAAACAAGAGTGGCGAGGGAGGCATGCCACAAAAAGGCAGAGCAGAGGCAGGAAATGCAGAATGCCCCGGGACAGAAGTTACAAACGCTCATAAAAGAGGAACTCGTTAAAATAAGGCCGGATTCTGTCTCTCGGCCCTGAAATAAAAAATCAGATTCAAATAAACTTTCCAAGTAACAGATTTTTATTCAAGATTGTGTGGAGATTTCTATCCTAAAGATCAGGAGTTGTGCAAGTGTTTCTTATCACTGTATGTAAGCAACCTGCAAGAACACAAACCTGTTAGATAAAACCTGAAAGCCCCATGTGCTGGGTAATCCACAGAATCACATTAATGGATGCATTTATTACAGACTAGACGACACAGAGTGTGCACACAGCCTAGAGAGCTTTCTTCTGCTAAAGCATAAAGAAATGCAAATGCTGTTACTTGGACTTTGCCTGGGATTTAAGCTCAGTGGTCATGTTATCAAGAAATCAACAGTTTTACTCTGGTATGTAGAAAGATCCTTTTTAAAGGAAAAGTTCTTATGGAGGAAGTATAATTAATCAGTGGCACAGTAATGAAAACCCTCCCTGAGTTAAAAAAACACTACTGGAGTTACTGGTGAGGTACAATTTAAAGAACAGTGTATCCTTTAAATGGAAAATACAGAGACCCTGGCAAAGTGAAAAGTTAACTGTGGACACCTCTAGGTCAGCTCTGCGTTGGCTGTCTTGGTCTGCTCACACACAAAACTCTCTGACCTATTTCTCTTTTCTGTGCCTTTCCTCCTTGTGTTAGCAGAAGTACCCTTCAGGATCTTTTCTGACTAGGAGTGGTATGTCTATGCACTTCATCACAGTATGACTGGAAAACTTCACTCAGCAACTGAAGACATAAGTTTTTTCTCGGAAACATGGACATTTAAGCCTGTGTTTTCTGAAACGCTTGGGCTTTTAGTCTGAAAAGTTTCCTGTCCCTTTCGCTTATAGAGACAAAGCCCAACATATACAGGCCATTTTTATAAAAAAGGAAGAACTTGTGCAGGGTGTGTCTCCCACTGAGATACGGCTTGGTAAGGACGAAACGGTGTGCCCCCAGCGCACAACCTGGTGCAGCTCACGAGGCGAGGGAGAGGTGTGAGAGGGCAGGCTGCGGGGCCCCGCGCAGCACAAGGTGGCAGAGGCAGTCGGGCCTCCCTGCCAGAAGCTGGGGCCCAGAACACCTGCCCCCTTTCCAGCTGCAGGAAAGAGCAAACTCGCCCCATTGCAGCATGAGAGGCAGAAAGCGAGAAAATGCTGCATACTGGAAAAAAATGCAGAGCCCAGGGAGGTGGGCTATGACGGCGGGTGAGGCACTGGAACAGGCTGCCCAGAGAAGCTGTGGATGGCCCATCCCTGGAAGTGTTCAAGGCCAGGCTGGATGGGGCTTTGAGCAACGTGGTCTAGTGGAAGGGGTCCCTGATCATGGCAAGGGGGTTGGAACCAGATGATCTTTAAGGTCCCTTCCAACCCAAACCATTCTGTGATTCTATGCTTCTATGCTGTGATTTCAGCACCAGGAGCATTGCCCGCCATTTCCCCGGGGGCTCCCTCCCGAGCATGGCTGCTCCTCGCCCTGGCGGGGCGCAGGGCAGAACGGCAGGGGCTCCCCGGGCTTCATTTCATTTCATGCAGCCTCTCTTCTCTCTGTGGAAAGACTGAGCCGTTCCTGTCAGCAGACAGCACGGGTGGGCACCGACGCGCTGCACCCTGCCATCGGTCCTCTCGCTACGGGATTAGATCCCTATATAAAATCATATACATATGGATATGCGTGCGTGTACATAAACGTCTACTCTACGGGTGCGCGGGTGCCCGACCTAACGCTCGCCCGCTTTACCGGTCGCCGGGTGGAGCCGTCCGCGAGCCCCGCCCACCGCGCCGCGCTGCGCTCGGCGGGGGCGGGGG